AAAAAAAAAAAAAAAGCTAAAAAGCGATTGTTCATATAGAAAACAAAAGAAAAAATAAAGTTTTTACACCAGGACGATTCGATAACGATTTATCGTGTGACTATACGATAACAAAATATTTTAACAAATCAAATCAGATGACGTCATAATCACGGTAAAACGATAAAATCGTTGCTACTACTACGATTTTAAAGTTTTTCCATGATTATGACGTCATCTGATTTGATTTGTCAAAATATGTTGTTATCGCATAACTGATAAATCGTTATCGAATCTTTCTAGTGTAAAAACTTCTTTTATTTCTTTTATTTTATTTTATGAACAATTGCTTTTTAGCTTGTTATCGTTATCGTTGAAGTATAAACAGGCCTTTATTCATTTAAAAATAATACCATAGCCCGTCACGAAGCCAAACAAATCAAAATGAAAAATTAGGCTCACCCCTGATATCATTCCTTTAATTTCTTTGCACCAGGTTAGTACTGCACTGTTTCTGGTGATAAATGGCTAGCCTACCTTTAGAAGGCTAGGCCTAATCCCTTGCTAAAAAAATACACTTATAATCGGTGTTCTATCTATTGCTTTAGCAAAAATTATCGCATAAAAACTTGCACATTTATGAAATATTAAAGCTACATTAATATGAAGTAAATAACCCTGGGTATTCAATAGGTAGGCTACAAGTTTGTCCAATGTTTACCTTTCCGCTAAGCTACGCCCCTTTATGGTTGCTAAGGTCCCGCAAAACGATAGCGTAAATGGACGTGCGCGTATTAATTACCTGTTCTGATTGGACATTTTTTTGATTGACATTCCGGAAAGATCCACTGTACAATAAAATATATTCTCAAGGTGTCTTGTACAATTTAATATTCTCAAGGTGTACTTCTTTTTAGCTCAGTGTTTGTTCAGTGGCGTATCCAGCGGGTGCGCGAGGGGGGGGGGGCGCACGCCCCTCCAAAAAATACTAGTTTAGTCTTCCGTAGTGGAAGGATACTCGTATTCATAAGGTTTACAAATTATTATTCTGAGTAATATAGTCGAACATTATAATCAACTACCACAATTGCGAATGCAATTGAAGACTCACTTTTTAAACTTCGCCAGAGAGCATACGAATATGTATATTAATATTCCATTATGGAAGACTAAAATATATTTTGGGTAGGCAGAGTTTGCGATAAGGTTTGAATAAAATTCACTAACTCAGCAACCTGCTAAAAATTAAAGTAATTAATACAACTGCATACACGGTCAGAAATGTGATACCAGCTGCTCCGCTTTTACAACCGCACTTGGTTCCTGTCTTCCACTGTTTACACGAGCTACTGTATATACAGTTGTAAATCTTGAGTCCTTCTCGCTTTCCACTTTCCAGTGCTCCTTGAAGGTTGCCAGTGTTGTTCAAGCTGGTGGCCTCACCAGCAAAGAATACTCTACCAACTCGCGACTCCATCTTATCAAAGCAATCACGCTCCGTGCCAAGTGTCCAGAAGGCGTACGATCCAAGGGTATACGGGTTCTGCGTCCAATTTGACACCAATATTGAATTAGGTAGTGGGACGTCGTACCGACTGAACATTGAGTCGAGGGTATTTTCCGCTTCCTTCATGATCTCTGTTTCCGTCAGAGATTCAACCCGACGAGCCTCGTCGCCGGTCAAAATCGCCATCAACATATGTGTATCTTTCCCGAAAAAATCTGCAAATTATACGAATTGTATTAGTAGGCTATAGCGGCGTAAAACAATTAGGCCTATGGAGGCTAGAATTGTAAAATAATCAATCAATCAATCAATCAATAATCTTTATTCATCCCACATGGGGCAGTTATATGAAACAAACACAAAGACAATAAAAAAAATGTACACAGTTTACATAAGATATGTTAAAACCTATACAGTAATGATATCTTAATTTTATTAAAAAACATTTATTTGATGTCCTCAACTCAAAATCTTTTGAAAGTGGTCCAGGTGACGAATTGTGGTTTTTCTCTCCCTCCCCGAAGGGGCCTCGGCCCCACGCCCACTGCTGGCGCCACCTCTGGGATACCCTAATAGGGGAATTCTTTTTATATTTTTTTTGCCGCAAATAATCGAGAGAAATGCTGCAATTTAGATTGAAGTAGATACGCATTACAAAATCTTTTTAATTTATCATCATTTTACACTTACCTCCATGTGCAAAATTTAGAAATAGCGGCCACATGCCTTTACGATTACTAGAATGTACATTTGCGAACCACTCTTTATCGTAGTTATCACCGGCCCAGAACCTTCCGTTTCTCTCGTTATAATTTAAGAAAATTTTACTGTATGCTGCCATTTCAAATCTATTCAAATACAAATCAGAAAAAATATAAGAAACAAAACAAACATCGAAAATACATATTAAAGATCGAGAGTACAGGTAGGCTATATAGGCTGCCATGTGTATTTTTAAGTTCCAACATAAACATAGGCCTATAATATGTGCAAGGACAAATAACGACATAATTTGTTAGATTTATCTGTGACACTACTAGTTCATTCGGTAATGAAATTGTTACGTATTTGAAATGCGTTGTACTATGTCATCCTCTGTGGGACATGGCGCAAACCCCCTGTGTTTCGTACATCCCGCACATAGGCCCATTCCACACTATGGTATTGCTAGATTCAGATGTGTTGTCATGAACAGATGAGTAATTTACCGTAAGTAGAGAGAAGTAGTTATCAATATCATTATTATCATTATCAGTTTTTGTCCCTGTTCAATGTTGTCAAAAAACTTTCCCGTTGGGATGAATAACCCAGAGAGGTGAACTTGGTCACTGCTCTCAGAGTATTGCTTCCCTAGACCCCTCACAGACCTCTTCCATAATAACTTTACTGTGTGACGTGACTTACCATTCCCACCAACTTTTTCAAAGATATAGTCTTGGTATGAAACAAATAAGTACTTGTTGCACACCACCCCCAAAATACATCTCCCATCCCCAATCCACCAGCTCGTCCGTCTTACCTATTCCAATAGGTGGTCTTCCATAATGGTAGTGCCGGTACGAATTCAATAAGATCACTTTGAAGCACACCTAAGCTGAATGTAACCAGGACATATTCCGCAGTATAACTTGTCCCGTCTCTACAGAGCACTGTCACTTCTCTGTCGTTCGAATAGTCAATTCTCCAAACAACTTTATTGTACAGTATGTTGTCCCTGCAAACACATAAATTAAATCGTCATCGTTAAAAATAACAATAGAATCATCGCCTATTGGCACTCGAATTACTAAGACTTTCCCATCTATATTGTTCATGTTTGCATACAAAGGTTAACTTTAAATTGTATGAGCCTTGGGATTATCGGTGGCGGTTGTAGAGGGTTACGAGTGGGGTACTCGCTTCCCTATCCCCACCTGGCAATGATGTAAAATCCTTTAGTTTCAAGAAGCTGCAGTCCCCTATTGTGCATTACTATTTTCCATTTTTAGTTTTGATTGACTTCACTGTATATAATTCACAACGGTAATTCAATATTTGGCTGCTATGTCTTGGTTAAATGTAAATGTGTTATGGTCCTTGTTGAATGTTCATATTGGGACCTGTGCCTACCATGTCAGTTCACCGGAAGATAATCCCCTGTTGTCTGATTTTTTTCCGTGCGCATGTGCTATTGCTCGTGGTACAAACGGTTCAACGTCGTGTCAGAAGGACGAGGTATCGAGCGCAAAATGGCTTACTCAAGGCACTGTGACGGGACTCGAATTGGCTCACCCTTGCACAAAAGCTAACCATTACCTCTGTGCTAGCTCTCTCTCCATTGTCACCTTTTGACAGAGCCGCATTAGAGCGTTAAAAGACTGGTGGTAACCGCTGCAGAGGGCCCATGGCACCATCTTTGTGTCGATGGTTCTATTCCTTTCCTTAAAGTCTATCTGTGAATCACTAGTTACAGCGCCCCACCTTTCGGCCCAGAGACATTTAATGTTTATTTTGAAGGCGCTACCTAAATACGACACCTTTACCTAACTTTAGTATTGACCTATTGTTTTAAAAACCGTAAAATTACCCGTAAACTTGTAATAGAAAAGGTACAAACCTATAGTCTCTTTTCCTCAGAAAAGTCATCGTTTCATTGAATATTTGTATATAACCATCTTTATCTATAACAAACTGTTCTTGAGAGCCATCGTATGCCTGGCGGCGACGACGGCTGTACCGATCGTTCCTATAATCGCTAAACCGGTCGTCGTCGTCATCATACCGGTCGTCGTATCGGTCTCTGTTTCGATAGTTGTATGGATCATTGTCGGCGACAAGGACGAGGTCCCTTTGCTCTTTGAGGTAATCCTGCTCATTTATGTTATTATTATTATTATTGGAGTTATCTTCAACAACTGGTTCATCCTCCTCAGTATACAGTTTATCGGCTGCGTATGCGAGGAGTGAGGCACGCTAAAATAAAATTGAAGATAGAATTTTTATGAAATACCGGTAGGCCTATATGTTAGAGCTACCAACGGCGTGCACAAGAAGTTAAAAAAAAAATTATATTAAGGTTGTTTTACGTTTCATGAGACATAACAACCAATGAATTTGCTTGTCGGTCTAATGTATAGGACTAATGAACACGAGGGATTATTGCGAATTATTTAATATGAGGAAAATATAAACTACAAATATGACAAAACATCAAGAAACACCTCTGCTTTCAAATAGCCTAATGATGTACGTTGGAAGAAAATGGCATTGCACGGATTTTAAAGCGATTCCAAATAAAAATCTGAAATCCGTAGGACTATAATATTTACTTCATGAGAATAAGCCTGATCAACAATGAATAAATTGAACACATCATCATTAAAACCAAATGATCCACGAAAATAAAATATGAGTATGGCAACTCCTAAAAATGACAGACGTGAGGCCATAATTGAATCTACGTTTCGTCTTTTACTTGAACATTGTCAAGATTGATTAGTTCAAAAATGGACTTGGACTAATCGTTCTTGACAATGTTCAAATAAAGAACGAAACGTAGAATCAATTATTTCCTCACGTCTGCCATTTTTCTTACCATACACATATTTCTATCATCATTAAATATTTATAGATACAAATAGGGCTTGGTAACCTTTCCAGCGTATCCTAAATCTTGGCTGATATCCAGCAGGGCCCTCTTACGAAAATATGAAATTGTAGTGTTTCATTAAGATTAGCAATACTGATCGTCACAGGATTTGAACCCAGTACCCCAGGATTAAAAAGGAAATGATCAACCACCAAACTACACTTCACTACAAGAGTGTTCAGAATAGGACTACTTCTAAAAAAATAGGCCTATGCCTACCTCAGGTTCTTCTGCCAAATCAAAGTCAATTCTGAACCATTCTGCAAGTTTTTCTTCGGGTGTCATTGGTTTCCATCCGACGTACTTCAGTGCTGAACGCAATGACATATCGGTCTCTTCGTCATCGATGTGGTCGGCACCTAAATCCAACGCCTCGTCCAATTTACTATCAAACCTTTCCAGGGCCAATTTAAAATCATCTGTTACTATCGCACCTTTATTCGTCAAAGCTACGATGTCGTCGAAATCGGATGGCCTAGTCGCCAGCTCGATTTTCTGGGCGAGATTTTCCAGTTTCGAACCGGTTGGGCGTATCCAGTTTGCTCCCAACTCTACGACTCTTTGCAAGAAACGTACATTATGTACTCGACCGCCGTAGTGATCCTCCGCTTCCAGGATGAGGAAATCATTCTCACCCTTATAGTGCAGCGTCTGAGCGGCGTTCAAACCTGATGCTCCTGCCCCGAGAATCAACACCTTCGCGTCGGTAGCCGACTCGGCTTTCCTTGAAATCGTCAGCGTTAATAACGCAATGACGAAATAAAATTTTAAAACTGGCATGTTTTAATAACACGCGAAAGCGTGACTGTGTGAATTCCTTTACAGTAGGCTACAGTACACGGCCTATCTTAGCAATATTGACGAGAGATAAGGCGATAGATAAGTCTTCGAATATGTCTTAAATGATCAACTGTTCAAGTATAATTCCTATGCGATGACTTCATTCGAACGCATATAGATAAATCATCTCTTCTATTGTGCGCCACCACAAACGCTCAGCCGTTGCTTTTTGTTAGTATGGTATTGTTCTCGTTACACTGAAGCGGAGACAACTCGAGTACAGTACAGTACTAATTACAATGAGACTCACGTCGAGTAGTAAAATGGTACTGCATTCGTTGGGAAACACCATTGAACTCCATCGCCCATGGAGACGAATGAGGCATGCGCATTGGAACGAAGGACATGTATAAAGGACATGTATAAAGTACGAATAATGGCTATAAAATAATTATTCACAGTACAGAAGCATAACCTATTCAGGGACGGATCTAGTTTCACATTTAGGGGGGGTGAGACCTTTTTCATAAAAAAGCCCAAAAAAGGGGGTCCGGGGGTCACCCACCGGGA